GCTGAGTCAGCAAGATCAGTAGGGGTTTGGAGGGATCCAAATGTTGGTGTGAATTGGGTGGGTTGGGATTGATGATGAGTTTGGTTGGGATTAGCATGTGTTTGTAACCTTCCTAATGCCCTCCTTTCTGGGGGTTGGGAGGAGAGACTAAGCAGCCCCTGTATTTTCAGTATACCTCACAGAATAGGTGCCAGTCCCAAATGGTGAAAAGGAGAAGTGCAGGTATGAAAGCCTAATCTGCTATATCTTTATTGGAGGCACAATCTATGTGGGGCATCCCAGTTACTCCATAAGTTTTCCCTGTTTCTAAGCAGTATGCCTCCACTTCCTTTACCCCTGTGCCTCTGGCTAAACTGACTATTCTAGCAGAGGTGTCTGCTAATCCAGACCACTGTCCACAGTTTCCTCTCTACCCACCTCCTGTTCATGTAGCATGAGTCTTTTCAGTGTCAACTATTGAAGTCTGCACTGGTGTCTATTGACCATGGATAATCAATCTTATTCCTATCTGAAAGATTACCTGTCAGTATTCCTCTAGCTCACTGCATCAAATGTTATTGCCCATGGGGACCAGATCCTGCAACTGCCTCTGCCAGAGTCTGTCATATCTACTCCCCTTGGCAGTGCCTGTTTCACTGCTTTCCATACCTACTAGTTTTGAGTTATTTCCAAGAACCACCTTGGGACCCATGGGAGCCTCTGAAGGCTTACCATGGAGGTCCTGGTTCCCAGTGCCACCCCAGGACTTGCTAAGGTCTGCCAGCATGTACCTTGGTTACAGCTACTTCTACCATCCCATCCCATCCCATCCCAGAATCACTAGGTTCCATGGGAGGCCTACTACCAATAGGGCAACCTCTAGAAATGGTTCTGAAGTTCACTAAGATCTATGAAAACATATTGTGACATTTATGTGTCCAGGACCTTCCTTGGAGCTTGCTGGATTGCAGGGACCTATCTAGGTAGGTCTGATTCTAAATCCTAATCTAGAGTTCACCAAATGTCTTTGGCGGCCTTCTATGGCAGGTATGCTTTCAGGCTCCTTCCCAGGGTGCACCAAGATTGTACCAATGTCTAAGGATATCTGCTATTGCCAGTCTGATTCAAGTATCACTCCAAAGCTCACCAATACTGTGCTGATGTCTGTACTGACCTACAGTGGCAAGTCCGATTCTGAACTAGTCTAGATTTGTGATGGTTTACTGTGTAAGGAAATGGCCCATTCCACTCTGCTGCTTACAAAACTTGTTGGGTGAGCAGGGGCTCACCTCTCCTGGTTGGGTGAATTTGACTAATTCTGCTGCTCACTGGGGTTCCCTCCTCCTACTCCTAGAGTGTGCTGCAATCATCTGCTTTTCTTTAAGAAGGTATTGGCTTTGTGCTGCTGCAATCTTGTGAGTATTCTGAAGTGAGCCCAGTGTTTTTAATCTGTCATTATCTTACTCCTCCTTTATTGATTTGGAAAGATTGACAGAAATGTTTGATAAATATATATTTGTGAACAAAAAATACAGTAAAATGCATTTTATGATAAAAAGGGCATACACATATGCATCTCTCTCATAAACTTCTACCCCCATCCCACAAACATACCTAATGAGAGAGACAGAAAAGTCTAAGAGTTGCTGACCAAGCAATCTCTCCTCTGAAAGGAGAGATAGTATGTGTAAAAAGGGAAAGGAGTGGGACTAGAGGTAGAATGGAAATTTTCATGTTCACTTTATATATTCCCATGTTGCTTAGATGTTTCATAAAAAGCACATATCATTATATTTTGTAATTAAAAGGTTTTTTAAAAAGTAAATGTTCCTGTGCCCAGTTTTTCCCTCTATACTAATGCTGCCTATAAGCCACACAAACTTCTGTCCTATCTGCTCACTTGCTTTCTTCTCCCTTCATTCTAAGGAATCTTCCCCCAAATGTTATCAAGAGGAATTTGAAGTGGAGTTTCTCCTACATCAAGAGTGGGACTTAGTGGCATGACCAAGTCAAACAGTTTCATTCCGTATATTCACTTTCTAAACCTGAGCTAAACACCTTTACCATCTTTAGTGGCTTAAACATGTAGAATCTTAAACCTGCTCCATCCTTGGTCATTTGTATGAAGAAAAAAAAACCCAAATATGGTATACTTTTGTCAAGAATATCAAAGCCCATTAGACTCAGAATTGGGGATTTCCATCTATTCTGTCTATTTGGTACTCTCAGCCTTCTGGACCAATACTCTATATTGGACAATTGAATCTTCTCTACACTGAACTTCACATCACAAAATCCAACAAAAAGCAGTTAAAAAGACTAGAGATGTGTTTTAGACATACCTTGGAGCTGTTTTTTACACTATCTATGATAGACTCCACCTGACTTCCTTTACTGTCATTGTCATACCGGTCACATGTACTCACCAAGCCAGACATACCTTTCATGCTTGGTCTGTGGAAACTTCAGCAATACCACCTTTAGGTCAACCTTCCAAGGTAACTTTCATGGATCTAAATGACAATTGGTCCAGCAACTACATTTATGTAATGTCAGAGATTCCTGACTACCTGCTTTGGGAGACTTCCTATCCCACTCCATCAGGAATATCTGATGGCTACTTTATCCACTCTGGTTCGATTTCCCTGGGTTACCAGGTTAATATAGTTACAGAGAACTATATTAGGTCATTCCCCATCTCCTGGCTATGACACCAACTAGGTTGCAATGGATCCTATCATCAAGAAAATACACATTTGGTCTTCATGTTTATGTATTTTTGCTATAAGAGCTGTATTGACTTTTTAGTGGGAAGTGTTCAGATCACCCAAGTGCTTTCCCTGACTGGTGGTTTCAAGTAGACCACCTTTTGTGACTCTTATGAGGGGACATGAGCCAAACCCAAAAGAACTGTGCAAGGGGATGAGAACTCCTAAGTTCCTCTTTCTCCTCCATAACTCACCAATAGAGGGACATGGGATAGGCCTGAGAAAGATAAAGTGGAAAGGGGTTAAAACAGATGGGGAAGAAGTAGAATGTAAAAATAGAGACAAGAGAAAAATATTAGGAGGAGAGAAACTACAGTGGTGAAAATATTTGAAAAGAGAAACTGTGCCAGAAGACACTCAGTCTGTGTTCTTTCCACAAGCCTCCCTCCCTTCTTTAAGGCAACATTTTCCTCTGCAATTCCTTTATCAGTTTGAAATTTCTTCCATTTGAAAATTCCACTCCTTATGAAATAGAGGTATAAAAACTACATACAAACTCTTTGGAAATCTGTTTGGAAATGTTTACTAAACATAAACATAAACTTACCCTATGGCTAATCAATTCCATTCCTTGGCTTAGAGTCAAGTGAAATGAATGCAAATGTCCACTAAATTTCATAAACTTCATAAAATAATAATCATATAACTTTATTTAAAATAAGTTAGAAATTATCTAAATGTCTATCAAATAGAGAATGGATAATCCAAATATCATATGGATGCTACATGGAAGTCAACTACTACAGAGAAATAGGAAGAATCCATACATGTCAAAACATGGTTGAATCACATAGGCAATGTGCTGAGAAAAAAAAAATCAAGACATCGACATATATGCCATGTAATGTGTTTTACATGAAGTTCAAGGACAGGCAAAATCATTGTTATATCTGAGAATGGTTATTGACTCTTAAAGGAAGGGCATGAAGGATTCTGGGTTAGCTGGAAATATTGTACATTTGATTGGAACATGGTTACATGGATTATGAAAATGAAAAAATTCAATGAGTCATAAATGTGAGATTAGCATTCCTTATGCATTTTGCTATATATTTCACAACTCAATTGTTCTCCCAGAAAGCACTAAACAGTAGACACTGAAAACCTTTCTCACCCCAAACCGTGCACACAAACACACATATACTTTAAACATAAACACTTTGAATTTTTTCATATTGCAAAGTCTAGTATTGCATTGGACTAGGATAAGGTTTGGAAAATAAGTCCATTTTTAAGGTCCATTTGTTGATAAAACAAATCACTATTCCCTTACAGTTACAGCTTTATTTTAAGGTGTTTCATATAATTTTTTCAATTACTGTTTAACTAGTCTTTCTCTAGAATTTTATACATCCTAACAAAGAAACTGTTAAGCTGCTTCCTTATTGTCAACTTCATTATTTTGGGTATTACAGCCCAAATTACTCTCACCACTAGGTGGCAACAACCTAGCTGAAATAAAGTAGAAATACAGACCATTACAGAAAGGCAGTTAATACAGACTTGTTTATCCTTTCTTCCTCATTACATTGAGTAAAGGGAAAAGTTACCCACAAATCTTTATTTTTATTGTAATATCAACTTGCAATAATATCTACTGAGAAATGGATGGGGCTTGACATATGATCAGAGTTGTTTTCAGTGAAATCTGATGATCAACATATAGAAGTTTACCTTATGAAATGAATGTACATGAAAAGTTCTCCTCAGATACACTTGCTTATCTTTTTAAGTATGATACTTGATTACTTTAAAAAATTAATGTCAGTTGGATCATCCTAGCAAATAAAGAACTCTCTTCCTCCTCCAGTAAGTCTGCTCTTAATGGCTTGATTTGATGAGATTGTTCTTTATTCACCTTTTTTCATTATCATCCTGTCTTCCATGAAAAACTTTTCATGTCCCCCTCCTACATTTAATTTCCCTTTCATTATAATGAGCATTTTCTTACAAACATTAAAAAATTAAGGGTCAGGGAAGAAACCAGAGACCCTTTAATCGATGTAACTTTTTTCACTATGTCTCTTTTCTTTCTGAAAGCCTGAGGGGAAACTTTACTTACTATACAGATTGGACTGGTAAATAAAATCACTTCTTTTAGTCCTAGAATGAGCTATGATGGTCTCCTTGAGGCTGAGTACTGTCGCATTGGGACAACTTGCCCTTCATGACATGGTAAAATCGGGCTCATGGACCATTCATTCCCTGACTTAGACGAATTGTATGAAGTTTGCCCTTAAATGCGTAAAAACATTACCTTGCCACAGCCAAGCAGTAGATGGCATTCTCCCTTGGAGTCCTCCCATCGTGCTCTGAGAAAGCCGAGAAGGAGGACCAGAGTAAAAAGTCAGCACCAGGTGTTGTACAGTAAAACGAGGGATGTGAATAGCCCACTCTTGACACCAGGGGAAGTGGGACTTGGGGGAGATATATATTTTTTACAAGATTTTCTTTTTTCCCAGAAGTAGCTAATCTCTGATTTTGTTGCTGTCTTTGGAATTCAGAGATTGGATTTGCATCTGCCAGCAGAGGAAACTTGCGGGTTTGTCTTCTTTGGTTTAGCTCTGGAGTTGCCAGAGGATAAACAGGTTTCCTGCTTGTAGTTTGCTCCCTGAGAGGTGACAGCTTGTTCGCAGGGAATTGGGAGTCCTTGTTCCCAGCCTTGTGCCAGCTCTTGGAGGTCATTTTTGGTTTGGTGTAACCATCCACCATCACAGTGTCTCCAACTTTTGTCCCAAAGACCCTTGTTCCACGAAGCCACCTTTTATGAAGGCTGTGACTTTGAGCCCTGAGGACCCATTGTTTTATTTTAATATAAATCCTCATGGGAAGTGAGATTTTCAAAAATGAAACTGTGGACCACATTTTGCCCAGCAAATATAATACACAGTCTTTATGCTTGTGTTTGAAGGCAATGGTCAGTGGAGTTTGTCCTGCTGCATTTTTGCATTCCAGACACAGCACACTGCAGTGCACAAAGGCCTTTAGAATCAACAGTTGGCCAGCTTCTGCAGCTGCATGAATGGGGCATTTAGAGACATCTGCATGCAGGGCTTCATGGCACCACACTCGATAGGGGTGAACACCCACTGCCTCATTGGGCCATACACCCTGCTTCAGGGCCCATTCAGTGAGTTCAATGTGCCCATAAAAGGCGGCAATGTACAGGGCCACCCTTTTCTGATACCTGAATGAGAGAAACAAGAGGAAAGGGTTGTTTAAGTCGGTAAACAAACATAGTTGCACTAAATAGTCATAAAATTGTCTAGCTAAAATGTTTTTTTTTTCTAATTTTATCCGTTTTGTTTGTTTTTTGCTTTTTGTTTTGTTTTGTTTTGTTTTCCAAAAAGGCATGTAGTAGCGTGCAGGTTAAATTCAAATTGCACAAATCCTGCCTGTTCATACTATCCTGTTATGCACATTCAATAATTCAAACTCATTGTCTTGGAGCAGTTTCTCATGAAAAAGCAAATGTTTTCCCCATAAATCTTGATAAAAGTGATTATGAACTATTTTTTAAGGATTTGAAACAAAGTTTGTATCTTACCCCAAAATGAATTTAAATTATGTATGCAACAGAAACTTTACTCACGAGAGTAGTGATAGACAGCTCAGTTTCTGTACATAAGAACAATAACTCCTAAGTTCTGAATGAATGAATTCATTACTCCTAAGTAATGAATGATGTTTATAGCAATAATTATAGCAATCAGTGCTTTCTAAGCAATATTTCAGACATTTTTTCATATTTCATATTCATTTCTTCTCTGAGGTATGCATGTATTTAGGCTGATGTAACCGTTACTAAAGGGCCCTCCTCAGTGGCACAACAGGATAAAAGGCAGCACTATGAAGCTGTCCAAAGCCACTGCAGCACAGTTACAATCCCCAACCAGGGAGGTGACTCATTTGGCACAGCAGATTTCTCCTGCTTCATCCACACTCATCTCAGCAGTGCATTTCAGTCAGTCTACTTGTTCTGGTGATGCCTCTTACCCTCCACACCTTTAGCCCTTTAACTTGTACCCTATTTCTTGTGTGAATGGATAAATGAATCTTTTAAAAAAAACTATTAAAGTATAATCAATGTGTGCAGTTTCAGCAATAGTACAATGTAATTAGTTAAATTGCCTTTTAAACTAAGGAACCATAATACCACCTTATATCTTATATATAAATTGAATTTCCAAGTAAAATTTAAGCAATCACAAAAAAAGAAAAAGAATGGAAAATCAAATTCTCAAGAAAAATGTCAAGGTTTGTATTAATTGGATTATTTTAACACATATTAGAAATATGAACATTTTGTCTTTTCTAAACAGGTCGTATGTTCTGGCTTCCCAAAGTCTCTACTGATACTCTGACTTAAACGAATAGTTTTCCCCTCACCAGCACCACCACAAGTACTGTAATCTCCTAACTGGTCTCTTCTTCTCTGTGTTGTTTTCTGCACACAGCAGTATGCTGTTTTCATTCCATATATTAGAGGGTATTGTTTATCCTTTTTTCAAAACCTTCCAATAGCTTCTCACTGCAATTGAAACTCAAGCTGCTCTCCTTGGTCTACAAAGGCTCTTGATCAAATGGCCCCTTTTCCCTTTTCTCCCCTACTTCCCACTACTCCTTACTCTGTCATTGTACTGTAGACACACTGGTCTTCCTAAACTCCATCCAATCCCCTGTAAGTTAAGTTGAATAACTGGTAAAGGTTTTTCAGAGAAGAATAATGAGATAAACAAGACAGAGTACTGGCAGCCATCAACTAGGATATTTCTGGGTAGGGCTATCTGACTCGATTGTAGAGATGGAGGCAGATGAGCTTGATATCACCCCAAATTTACTACATAACTAATTCTCCTGTCTGGGTGCATGCTTATCACACCATGGTTGATGTATATATGGCTTCCAGTATAATTTTTCTATATGAGAAAGATAACTTGCCCAGAACCTGTGTGTGTTTCTGACACACTCTGGCACTTACAATTAATTATTATGCTGGCATTTGTGTTCATAAATCATTTTAATATGTTTTAAAGATTTATTTATTTATGCAAACAGACCTGGGGTAAAGGCCAGAGGTGCAGGAGCAGTGAGAGGATTCACCAGAGTCAGAATGGGGAGCATAATAGGCAAATTGTCAAAGTACACTGCTGCTGGGGAGCAACGGGTGACAGGAGAGGTCTGCTGCACCATGTGAGTCACCTCTGAGGCAGGAATCAAGTCATGCACCTAAGCAGCTTCGGCCAGCTGGCAGTGTTGCACCTTAACCCGTTGCGCCACCAGGGAGGGACAATATTTCATTTTTAAAAAAATTTATTACTACAAATAACTACCTCTTACTTTGATCAGTTTTCTTGATTTGGAAGGAAAAAACGCCTCCTGTGGAAATGCCTCTGAAGTCTCTGGGCAACTGAGTAACTATTCTTCCCCTGGCAATTCCAAGGGTGTGGCCCACATCTTTCATTCAAATAGATAGTTTGATTTAGGGATCCAACAAACACTTCAAATTCAAGATATTTATAATTGAACTCCTCATCTTCTCCCCCAGACCTACTCCTTTTCTAGGCGTCTCTTCCTAGAAGAATAGACCTTTCATCCATCCTGTTATCAAGCTGGGAGCCTGGATTCCATCCTTGTCATATCTTCCCTCTCTCTCTTCCCATACCTAATTTTTTAATTAGAGCAGTTGGCTTTACAACCAAGATATTTCTTTTCAATCTTTCTTCTCATCTCTGCGTCTGTGCCATAAACTTACTTCAAGCCCCACTAATTCTACTCCTTTACTCCTTACAAGTTAACAGGAGTCATCATTTTACAATACAAGACAGATCTCATCTTGGTTCTTCCATGAATTTCAATGTCTCCCCAAAGCTTTAAACATAAAGTCCAAATTCCTTTACATTGCTATAGGGCCTACATGAGCTTGTTCCCTTACCTTTCCTCACGGGTCACTCACTTCCTCCCATTTGAGTTTACTCTGTGATACTTTTGTTAGTTCCTTCAATTTATTCTCTTGCCCACAGGTCTTTATATACACAATTCCATCTGTTTAGGAACATCTATCTTCTTCTCCCTACCACTGAGTTCAGTTAGAACCCTATAGGTCTCAACTTAAATCCCTTTCTCAAGATTCTTTACTTAATCCCCTTAGTCTGCCTTAGTTGTCCAAACGATGCATTCCTTTATCATATTGCACTAAGTTATGTCATAACACACTCCACACTGAATGGCAGTAGTAATGACATTTATAACCTGCTTCTCATGTACCTGGAAGTACATGTACCATGTATGTAGCATGTACTTATTTTTGTCAGGTAGCCCTTTAAGTTCCTTATGACTAGGTCATCTAATCGCTGTATCAGTTTTATGAGATAGATACTATGATCAATCTCATTTTATAGAAGAGGATAAAGAGGTACATGATGGCTATGTAACTTGCTCAAGTTTACACAATAGCAAGTAGAACTTTGAAGTCAGTAAAATGGACACTGAAGTTTATAATCCTAAACTCTTTGCAATTATACTTCTCCAGAAATTGACTACTTGTTTTTTGTTTTTTCTTTGGGGCAGCAAGATGACTTGAAGGAGGGAACATATCTTGCTTGTTGCTAATTTTATATGATTTTGTAAAGTACATAGAAAATACTCAATAGACATTTGTCCACTGGAGGAGGACTATAGGGAACTTACAATTTGATCATAAACATTCCTCAAGCTCTTGGATTTTATTTAAAGTTTAATAGAAGTGGAAATAAATGATTAAGCACCTGCACAGAGTTATATTGTTTGTGTTGATACCTTTTTTTTCTTTTTAACACGTGAAATTTTATTAGTCAGACTTCATAGAATCTATTTCCTCAACTTTAAAACAAAATAAAATAATAAACACCTCATAAAATAGTCACAAGTATAAGATGAGATGCTAAATACAACAGTGTCTTTCACAAAATATTCAATAAATGTGCACTATTAGCAGTAATAATGCAACACACATTAAATAAGTGTACTATAACTACCTCAAAATATAAATTAATTTTAAGAATTTGAATTTTGTAGTTTTAGAACTCAGGTGAAACTTCTGTAAAAAATATAATTGAATCACCCACAAGGTGGCACTGTTCTAAAGTACCATTAAATTAAAACCTAAAGGGCAGTGTCTTAAGCATTTAGCTTAAGCATTTAGCTAATTAAACATTTAGCTGCAGCAAACAAACTATTTTATGAGTCTACCCTCCTGCGCATTCTACACTTATGCATTCTACACTTTATGTATGGCAAAATTGTCTTAAATACAATTTGAAAATTACACAATTGCTTAGGAAGATGCTGCTAATATTAAGCAAGTGTCTTTTATTCTGAGACACTGATAAAAGTCTGATATCCAAACCAAGCTAAGATCACTCATTTAAGTAGTTGGTATTTCCTGAAGAGAGTCTACCTAAATTACAATCTTTCACCAAAGCTGGTGACATCTCTAGTGTCTTATTCCAGCAAATATTTCAATATTTGAGGGTGGATTAGACATGCTAAGTGGGACTGGCCTAGGGCGGACCCCAGCTCTAGAGTGAACTGTAGACTCAAAGAGTTATGGTAGCTGGAAAACTATTTAAATTAATCTTTCATTTGCTTTATCTCCATACTTAAGTACTGGTGCTTCATTTGATAAATAGCGTTGAACTTCCAATTTTCGTCCTAGGAGACAACCCATCAGAAACTCCTTCCATCCATCCCAGACATCCAAGCGAAGTGTTGTGCCTGTAGAAAGGAGTTCTAGCTCATTACTAGTCCATTACATTATAGGTCAGTTTATTACTGTGAATTGGCAACCCTTAAAACATCTAATGATAATTTTCCACAAAGCCATGAAATATATGTAAAATCTCTAGGTGAAAAGTAATACGGAATAAGTAGAAAAAGATGCCGAATTACTTTGACTTGTAAAATTCATTTAATTTCTATGCATTGTTAGTTTTTTATTTACATAGTGATTGAACATAATGCTGAAATGTTTCTTGTAACCACACCCCATCTGTCCCATCTGGGTTTTCTTTATTCCTCATTTCTTCTATGTATTTTTGTGTGTCTTCTCCTTTCTTTCTAAAAATAGGCTACCCCTGCTTACTAACAGTTTCTGTCCTATCACAGAAATGTTGGTGGGCATGCAATACTTTTTGCAATGACCCAACATTTTTAGATACTTTTCATTTTCTGCCATTACTGATAACCCATTTTGTCTCTCTACATTTTCTAATTTGAACTCACAATTTTAATAATAATAATCTACTGAATATGTGCAGCTAGTGGTTATTGAATGTTAAGCACATACATTATTCTAAATTCTTCTTTTTAAATTTATTTATTTATGCATACAGAACTGGGGAACAAACCAGAGGTGCAGGGACGGCAAGAGGATTCACCAGAGACAGAGAGAAGAGCAGAACAGGCAGATCGACAAAGTACACTGCTGAGGGGAGCAGCGGGTGGGTCAGGAGTGGTATGCTGAGACATGTGGATCACCTTGGGGGCTGGGAATAGAACTTGTACTGAAGCAGCTGCAGCTAACTTGCAGTTGTGTGTTCTTACCTGCTGTGCCACCAGGAAGGGCCTGTTCTAAATTCTTTTCATGAACAGACTAATTTAAAATTCACAAAGCCTTAAGCAATAGGTTGTATTATTTTCTCCATTTGACAGCTAAAGAACAGGGGCATTATGATGAAGCAACTTTCCTAGGATTTACATACCCAGTAAGTAGTGGAACCATGAGTCAGAACAGGACAATCTAGCTCTTCTGCCCATATTTCTATCCTTTATATGGTACTTGTCTCCAAACAAGAATCTAATTTGTTCAACCGTGATAGCTGATTATCATTGGGCAATGAATCAATATGATGGCCTTGACAGCAGGAATTGGTGTGATTGTGTGATTGTGTGTGTGCATGTATGTGTGTGTGTGAGAGAGACTCGGGCTTATCCATAAATATTATCAGGCTCAGACACATAGTAGGTTGATTATAAATACTTGCAAGTAAGAACAGAGAAAAAGATTGAGTAAAGGAAGGAAAGAAAGTTCTCATTCCCCTTTGGGGCCATACAAAACTTCTAAATTTGTTCACTCAGTTACTGGTAGTTTGTAATACCTGTAATCTTAGAGTTACTGAAGATAAATCTCTTTAAAGAACAGCCAACTCAGTTGTTTTTTTTATAGACTAAGGAAGGTAAAGCCCCAAAATAGGAGTGTCTTGCCTAAGGTTATCCTGGGAGTAGAATTTGGCCTGGAATTTACATCTTTGGGATTCTTTCAATACCTAGAAAGCCTCCGCCTTTCTCTTGCTTTCTCTTTGCATTCTTTCTTCCACTCCGTGGGTCCTCATATACCCAAGTTTATATTCTCTCTGAAAATCCCTCCCTTTTTTGGATAGCTTTGTTATAATCTAGAATCTTGAAATGCAGCTTTTCCACTGTTACATCTTATACTGATTTTTGGATTTCTTGACCTTGGCCTTGCTTTCTTTTGTTAGCTGATTTCTATTTGTTTTGTTTATTCACAGAGCCAGATCTGCATTACTGTCCTCATTCCCCTAAATTGCTTTGACTTCAGCTGGAATAATTCACTTTTTTCAGGAGAGCTATGTAATTTATCCTATAGAAACCAAGCAGTGAGTCTACATATTGCTTATAGAAATGCCTTGATGCCACTTCCCAAAATGTGGGATCATCCTTTTTATGATAGATTTTGTTTCTCTCTAGTATTTCACTGTAATTACATTTTCTTATAAAATGTGTGATTCCTATGGGTAGGACAGGCAACATAACTTTAAAAACTGCTACAATTGCTCATCTTGTAAGCTAAATGAGTTGCCATGTTTTCAGTTTTTACTATGAAAATTATTCACAGATGAGCACCAGAAAATTTCAGTCAGGTGCTGTACCTCAGCCTCCTTAGTGCACAACTGAGGCCATGTTACCTCCAGGTAAGGAACCAGTCTACCCCCAAGCCCAGAGGATAAACATAATTTCCATAGAATTGAATTTTTCAGATTCTAAGCCAGTGGCTTGGAGGTTTGGTGTTAAGGTCATGCTCCTGTTTATTTGCTCAGATGTTTTTACCGTTCCAGCAGCCCACTCCTGTTTTTCCTGACCAAGCCCTCACCTTGTGCCCAAAGTGTAAATCCCAGAATCCTTTTCCAGCTTTTGGGTTTTAGAACACTGCTCCCAGCACTGTTCTCTGAGTCTGTAATTAAAGTTCCTACTCTGAACCCCATTTCTGGAACTAGATTTTTGTTATAGCATGTCAGAGCTCTGATGTCAACAACTGGTCTACTTGCCCACCTCTGTGCTTCATTCATTCACTACCTGGATGCTATATTTTTCATCTACCAGGCCCCTGCTAAATATATCTGAGGTTTACCTCTGCCCTCCTCTATCTCTCCATTGCTACTTGCTCAACCGTGCCCAGGATCTCCACCTGGAGGACTTGTTGAAAGCTAACCTCACTCTGCTATATGTGTACATGCTGGTTCTTCCTGGTCCATCTGTTCTTCCCTAAATGCTTGCTCACCGTCAGATTTTTTATTTATTTATTTATTTATTTTTATTCATACAGAACTGGGATACAGGCCAGAGATCCGGAGGGTGAGAGGATTCACCAGGAACAGAGTGGAGAACAGAACAGGGAGCTTGACAAAGTTCACTACTGAGAGGAGCAGTGGGCGGGTCAGGAGAGATCTGCCACGCCATGTGGATCTCCTTCGGGGCAGGGGCAGGTGGGGATCGAACTCATGCAGAAGTGGCTTAAGCTTCTTAGTGCAGTGCTTGAACCCACTGCATCACCAGGGAGGGACCACCCTCAGATTTTTAACTCCCTCTAGGTCAACCTATTTACTGCTGGTGTGTTTTGATTCTGAAAGCTACAGAGAAGATACTTGATTTAAATCCTTATCAATTTTGGGCACCTTCATCGAGCCCTGTATTTTATTCTTCCTTAAATCCCTATCAAAGAATAAACATGATAGGTTTTAAAGCTGCCCATTTCAGTTCGTTGCTATGAACCATATCTAATTTCTCAAAGAACCAAGAAAATAATGAATAGTCTTTCTCTTATCAAATTTTGAGTACCCAGTTTCTAAGCAAGTTCACTACACTAGCAACAATAATTGGGTAATCCTTTCATTCCTGTTGCTCTTTGATGCTTTCTTTGGCACACATTAAATTCCTTGTATGCTTGGAAACTTTGCTAAAACATAGAAATTTACTTGAAAATGCTATGTTGCTCCAGAAAATACAACTGGAAAGTTGAAATGAAATAAAAACAAAATTAATGACAATTTTTCTAAATTCTCTGTTCTTAATTTTTGGTTATTTTTGAAAAGAGTACCTCCCAAATTGTATGTATTTACCAGATATGGCTCCTCTCACTACTTGCAAACCCATAGCTAAGTCACACAGAGAGCAGGCTCAAGCAAGAGCGCATCCTCTAGCATGTTGTCTCCACCCCTCCCCTACTGTCCCTTGGTCCCATGTTTCTCATCAATATTTGTCTATCTGACTTGCACTTTTCCTGATGAATTGTGAAAATCATTTAGCTGGCTTGGGCATTACCTAAGGGAAAGCAAGCAAACATTATTCAGAATTTCAAATAAAAGTAGGTATGCTATAGGCATGATGTTGGCAGTGTAGGTTGTTGTAAAGAACCCAGTCCTGAGTACATACTACTCATTAGTAGCATTGTCTTGAGAAGATCACTTAACTTTCTGAGCCTCAGTTTTTTTTGTAAGGGATGGTAGAGGGACTCTGGAGTGAGGCCAAATCTCAGATCTGAGCTGACAGGACCCTGCTCCTGAGTTTCTCAGTCGTGACGCATTGGGGCTGGTCACGAACACATGTCATGAGGTATTTCAGGGCAAAATACCAAAGGCATGGCCCTCCCTGGTGGTGCAGTGGGTTAAAGCACAGCACTGAGAAGCTAAAGCCACTTCTGCATGAGTTCAATTCCCGCCTGCCCCGGAGGTGACCACATGGCGTGGCAGACCTCTCCTGACCCGCCCGCTGCTCCCCTCAGCAGTGTACTTCGTGGATCTGCCTGTTCTGCTCCCCGCTCTGTCTCTGGTGAAGCCTCTCACCATCCCTGCACCTCTGGCCTGTACCCCAGTTCTGTATGCACAAATAAATAGATCTTTAAAAAAAAAATACAAGAGGTGTAATCCTCTGTTGGTGCCGAGTTAGCACATTACCCCCGGGGCTCCGGGGAATGTGCCCCCTGTTGTGCGTGTCAAGGCGGCCAGGTGGTCGGGCTGATAAAGCCATGACACAGACTTGTGTTTATCAGCCAGACGCGGCAATCCTCTAAAAGAAAGGCATTCACACACTCATTTAGGCACACTTGCTACAGAAAGGGGGCTATATTAAAAACTTTCATGGAATACAGACAAAATAATGAGCAGAGAAACACTGAGCTAAGCAGGAGGAAATCAAAAGCTAAAATAGAGATTTAAGAGCTAGAAATGGAACTAAAATGAACACCAGTCTCATAAAACATGACATAAGGAAAGGTTCAGACATTGAACTTATGCCTACACACACATTTGACCTATGTGGTATGCCACAAAGTATCAAGCCACAAAATTAGGGATGTTTAGCTTTGATAAATTCTTGATAAGGGTTAAAATTCTACCATCAAAAAAGCCATTTCTCCTTACTATCTTCTTAATTTTCCCAATCTTTCTATCTCCACCTACTTTATTAAATCTGTTCTCTTG